GAACTATATACTATATCTCTGAGGCCTAGCCGCCCCCTCCCCAAAATCTGTTGAATGGATAAATGTATGAGTGGATAAATGTATGAGTGAGTGGTCAACAACAACAGTTGCTATAGAGAAAAGGAGGAAGGGCCGAAAAGTGTCCAAGGATTTAGCAGCACAAAGGTCTTTGATGTCATTGCTGAGACCATCAGCAGAGATAATGAAGGCAAAAGCCATGCTGTGGAAGTCTGAAGATAAATGGGAGGTAAGGAAATGAAAACAGATAACTCCATAAGAAAGTATGGCTGAAAGAGAAGAGATATAGGATGGTATCTGAAGGAGAAAGTAGCAAGCATTTTAAGTTCTATATTCATACATTTTCTTTACACTAACCCTTTAGCAATACCATGGGTTCAATCATTTTTCCTACCCATATGACTCCAAAATATCTATCTCTAGCCTTGACCTAGTCCCCAAACTTCACCACCAAATTGCTAACCGCACTGATCGTAAGTCTGCACATATGGCCCACCCAAATTAAGCAAATCATAAGAGTATGGGGGGGGTGTTTAAAAAATGTGATTCCAGGTACAACTCATAGAAGACAGAGGTGGATTTTGTAAAGAGATGCCACCAGAAAAATCTTTGATTCATACCTCTCCCCGGTTCAGAAACTTTCAACAGCTCCTCATTTCCTAATTTGTACAGAACCTATCCTTCTCCCAGTTTTCCCCACTTCTTTGCTCTTTAGTTTTCTCATCTATAAAATGGGAGAAATACTAATATCCAATCGTAATATTATTACAAGGATGAAATGAATTAGTGTACGTAAAGCACTTAGAACTATGCCTGCACATAGTATGGACTGTGTAAATATTTGCTATGATTGCAATTATTTGAACAAATTACACTGCCAGAAATTACTAGCCAGAAATCTGGGGGTCATTCTTGATTTCTCTCTCTCTTAACTGCCACATTCATTCCATCTCCAAGTTGTCAATCCTACCTTCAAAATATATTTCAAATTCATCCAATCCCTTCTATTCACCTCATTATTCCAAGCCACCATCGCCTCTTGCCTGAACTACTAGAAACCTCAACTCTCCTCCCATTATTCATACAGCAGCCAGATTTTTGTTTCACTTTTTTTTGAAGTATAAACGAACATTCCAAAAAGTGCACACCAAAAATACAAAGTTTGATGAATTTCCACAAAGCAAATGTAACCACATAACCATTAAGGGGTCATCTTAAAAATATAAACCTGGTCATGACTCCGGTGTATAAATCCTTCAGTGACCTCCCATTATACTTTGACTAAAATCCAGTTTCCTTCCCATGGCCTATGAGTGGTTAGGCTCCTGTCTACCTCTCTTAATATCATTTCATCCTTTCAGTCACTCCTCATTTCCTCTTCATTTCACCTCTTGCTAGCTTTTGCAGCTCTCAAATAGGCCAAGCTCTTTCCCATCCTAGGGCCTTCACAACTACCGCTCCTCCTACCTAATATTCGTTTTCCCCAACTCCACACAGGGCTGGCTGGCTTATAATTTAGGTCTCACTTTAATTGTAATCTCATAAAGGCACTCCCTGATTACCCAGTCTAAAAGGTTCTTCTCTCCCAGGCCCCACTGCCACCCCCATCATAGCCCTCTTATTCCATTTGTAAATTAGGTATTAGTCTCTTTATTTGTTTATTATCTCTCTCCCCAACTAGACTGTAAATTCCATGAGGGCAGATACCAAGTCTGTTTTTATTACTACTGTCTACCCAGCACCTAGCATAATGCTTGGCGCACAGGATGTATTCAGTAATAAATGAGTAAGTAAATTATTCAGGAATAAATGAATGAATGTCCACAAGCAAAGTACTAAAACTAGCATTTAAGAGCCTCTATATTATGGTCAACAGTATAGACTATGTATTATTGGTCTATTTTCCTCTCTATATTTAAAGCAAACAATTTCCTCCTCAAATACAATCCACGCTGCTCCCTTAGCCTGGAAAACCCTGTCACCATGACTGCGACTTTCCCCAAATGTACTCATCTTTTGAGGTCCACCTAATCCACAAAACTTTCTCGGTGGACATCTGGTCCTGATGTAAGATGCAGGAGATACCAGGTTACATACCAGGTTACATACCAGGTTAGAAAGCAACTGGCAGAAAGAAGCTGAGATAAAACGTGAGGTTAGAAACGATCTTCCCTTTGGTTACAAAGGCCAATATAGCTTCTGTTTAAGCTGGTTTGAACGGCCTCATTTCTCCCAGCTGTTATTGTCTCTTCCTCTAAACTCATCATATTAACCTATCTGATGGCTCTTCACACCTTTTAACATAAGTGCAATCAATTTTTGTGTCTTACTTATTACACCATAAACCTGGGAGTGGGATTTGTGATGAGGTGTTTATTATTTATTGGCTGTAATAATTGACATTGTTAGTTTTGACTGCCTTTTTTCTCACATAACATCAGTTTACTTCTGGAATATTCTCAAAGGACTATTAAGGTGTCTTGCACTCTTCTGGCTAAGAGTGAAACAGGGAGTGGAGATGAAATCTGAACCAAGGTCAGTCAATAGGGATCTGAATCATAAGTACAGTGACAGAAATTTGTTGAAGCTCATTCATTGCAACAATGATGCCTGTATGACACTTTGCTAATTCTTGCTAAAAACATCCAGTAGGACTGTGTAATTCCTGTTCCCTCAGAGCTGGTTTTCCTTATTTTGTTAGCTACTCCATATTCTTCTAATAAATTTTTTAGTTTAAATTAGCCTGTTTTCTGTTGCTTGTAACCAAAGAACCCTAACTGACACCAATGTTTAACTAACTTCCCACTCGTCTTAGGTGATGCTATTTTTCAACTTTGTCTTTTTGCTGTTCACTTAAGAAAAGCCTCTCTGTAAGAGCTACCACTGACCAAGAACCTAAAGCTAGGTGTTTTATATAGATACATTATCTCTACTCCTTAAAATTCTGCAAGGTAAAATCTTCCATCAATGTGACTTTCTCCAGCAGGTATCCAATCAGACTATAAAACACTTTTTTTTTTTTTTTGGCCACGCTGCATGCAGGATCTTAGCTCCCCTGGCCAGGGATCCAACCCATTCATCCTGCAGTGGAAGCACAGAGTCCTAACCACTGGACCGCCAGGGAATTCCCTGAAACACTTTTTGGAACCACAATTACCGTTAATTTGCAAGATTTTATTTCTCCTATTGAAACAACTAAACCCAAACCTTGTTCCAGCGTTCTCATTATGTGAAACAATTAACTATCTTTATACCATAACGTCCTCTATGGTATAAAGTAAGCAAATAATATCTTCCGTTTCTAGCTATTTAGCCCAGGGGTTGAGGGGAGAGGTTGGAGAGAGAGGAGATGAACTTTAACTATTGTCCAAATTCAGTAAACCTGCAGCTACTCAAGGCAATTGCATAACATGTAAAAGTAGTTTGCAAAAGGTCAGGTTAATTACATTTACTTTGGTATACAATGAAAAGTACCTTGTCTGCCAAGCCTCCCCAATTCATGCGAGTTAGAATTCAACAGCATCACTCCGTTTTAGCACTGTATTCATATCGCTAATGTGACGCAGCCTACCGTGTTCGAGGGCAGGAACCATTTTCATTTAGTGTAGCAAGTGCCTAGAGTTCTGCTTGAACGTAACCTAACCTAGAAGACAATTAAGGTACCAGCTTGAATGAAAAATAATCGTCCCAAATTCTGAACACCAGCAGGAAACTTTTTTTTAAATAATTGGCAGCCATAAGGCTAAGGCTTCTATCTCGGCTTTGTCGCTTCAAATCCTTCCCGAAGGCGGCAAAAATAGTGAGCCACCACCCCCGCCGCAAGCAAAGTGAGCCTTCCATCTCCACATTCCCTTGGGTCCCTCGCCTCTAGCTCTATCGCCCCAGGGAACAAAGGCCTCAGCAACAAGCCGAGCTCTGGCTCCAGGCGCCAGACGTCAGTGCGGCGACCTAACTCCTTGCCAAAAAGACTCTGTAGAGAGATAGATATCAGAGCTGTGGCTTTCCAACAAGACAGCGATGCAAAACCAGCTAAGAAAAGTAAAACCAACCCGCGGGAAACTCCTCTCCAACCGAGCCCGCTGGAGCCTTCTTTACTTTCAGCTGGGGGCGGAAGCGGAAGTCGCTGTGAGATCATAGAGTTCTCTAGTTCCGGTCGCGGGGCCGCGTTCGAGGCTAGAGCGCCTCTCCACGGCCACAGGTTTCCAAGCGGCTTCTATTTCCGGTTGCGGCTTCTGACATAAAGCCGAGACCTTTCAAACGCGGCGTCGCGGGTTCCTCGCCCCTCGCCTGGGGTTAGCTCGCAAGGACTGGCGCGGGCGGGGGGATTGCACAGCCCACAGCTGAGCCAGGCCGTTGGGGCCGGCCTGCACTGGCACCTTCGATCCCTCAGAGCCGCCTGGCTTTTGAGCCCTCCGGATTGGGAGTGCGTGATTGGCCGCCTCCAGGACTGCCGCTCGAGAGGCCAGCGCTCCTTCGCCGTACCTGTCCCCCCATAGTCACGCTTTTCCCTGTGAGGTGCAGCATTAATCAGCTCACCTCTCCCACACACTACTTCCCTAACGTGGGTGTCTGCGTTGACTTCATTCTTCACCTTCACTTGAGACCCCTCCCCTCTGCCTCCGGAAGAGGTCTTTTTTGCCCAGTTCCTGTAAAATAGCACCCATCTGGCACCCCCAGAAAGTTCATGCTTACTAGAGAGTTTGTGGGCAAAGTAAAACCCAGTGCACACACGAAACTATGGCTGAGCACGGGGCTCACATCACAACTGCTTCTGCGGTGGATGACCAGCCATCCATCTTTGAGGTGGTAGCACAGGACAGTTTAATGACAGCAGTGAGACCTGCTCTTCAGCATGTGGTCAAGGTAAGGATTTAATTCTCTGAAAAGATTTAGGAACGTCCGGGTAAAAACCAAGCCAATAATCTGAATTTATTTGTTGGCCTAAGTTTTGAAATAACCAATTAGCATATAATGCACATCACATGATTTAATGGTTATGGAGTCTCTTGTTATGTGTACTGAATACCCAGCACTTCAGGGAGGTTAAGGTAGACCCAGAAAGAAAAGTGTGGAAATTCAGAGGGGAAAAAAGGAAATATAAATACAAGACATAGTAGCTGTGTAATGGAATGAATTTCATTTATTTATTTTGCTTTAGGTTCTTGCAGAATCAAATCCTGCCTGCTACGGCTTCTTGTGGAAGTGGTTTGATGAAATCTTCACCGTGCTAGATCTTCTGCTCCAGCAACATTATTTGTCTAAAACCAGCGCCTCGTTTTCTGAAAACTTTTATGGCTTAAAGAGGATCGTAATGGGAGACACACACAAGCTTCAGAGACTGGCCAGTGCTGGTCTCCCAAAGAAGCAGCTTTGGAAGTCAGTTATTTTCCTGGTTCTTCTTCCCTATCTGAAAGTGAAGCTGGAGAAGCTGATTTCTAGCCTGAGAGAAGAGGATGAATATTCCATCCATCCCCCTACTTCCCGCTGGAAACGATTTTACAGAGCCTTTTTGGCAGCCTACCCATTTGTTAACATGGCCTGGGAAGGCTGGTTTCTTGTACAGCAGCTTCGATACATCCTAGGAAAGGCTCAGCATCACTCACCACTGCTGAGTCTGGCTGGGGTTCGGCTAGGTCGACTTACAGTTCAGGATATACAAGCTCTGGAGCACAAACCAGCCGAAGCCAGCATGATGCAGCAATCAGCTGGGAGGTAAGGCTTAACATTTCCCCAACATATTTGATTAATAAATCCTAAAATCTTATCCCAATTTTATGAAATTTACCCCCCTCAGTCCACTTCGGGGTATTTCATAAAATCATCGAAAAATTCTTGTGTCCATAAAATAAGGATTGCCATCCTGGTAACCTTCCTCATCATAATGGCTACATTTTTGCACACACTTGCTATGTACCAGGCCCTTTGCTAGGTGTTTACGTATATTATCTCAATCCTCATCACAGCTCAATGAAATAAATGCATTAGCACCACTTAACAGTTGAGGAAACTAAGTTCTAACATTTGAGTACCTTGCCAAGGCCACACAGCTAACAGGCGGCAGAGCTGAGATTCAAGCCAGATCAGTACAATTCTAAAGACTGCTCTTAACCATGGTGCTACCCCGCTCCTAGTGTCTGTGTTCTCTGACAAGTTCAAATATATTTCTCAGTACTGCTGAGTTGTTTTTTAAGTGAGTGATTTCTTTTTCTGGATATACTATCTTCCACCCCCATAAAAGGTCTATATAATCAATGGCTCATTAATTTCTTTCTCAAAACACAAAGCAAACAAAGCCCTAGTCATTAAAAACAAAGCTTAGCTCCTAGAACTCCTAAAATACGGTAGGTTAGAAAGAGGGAATTGTTTCGAATAGACACTTACAAGAGAAAACGCCAGTCCAGCAACTATTCAATCCCCAAGCTGAATCAACGATTCTAATGAAAAGTGTAAGAATTACACGCGTATTAGTTGTTCTGTGATTGTACCTAAATAAACAGTTTCTGCTTTTGCCTCCTTGTTCTGTTCTCCAAACAGCGTTGGCGAGAAGATAAAGTCAGCTCTGAAGCAAGCCGTGGGAGGTGCCGCCTCATGCCTCTCTACTGGCCTTTCGGTGGGTGTATTCTTCCTGCAGTTCCTTGAGTGGTGGTATTCATCCAGAAACCAAGAAACCATCAAGTCATTGACTGCCCTGCCTACTCCACCACCACCGGTACATCTAGACTACAATTCTGATTCTCCCCTGTTGCCCCAAATGAAGACTGTGTGCCCACTTTGTCGTAAAAACCGGGTGAATGACACCGTTCTCGCCACCTCTGGCTATGTGTTTTGTTATCGCTGTGTGTTTAATTACGTGAAGAGTCACCGAGCTTGTCCCATCACAGGTTATCCAACACAAGTACAGCATCTGATTAAACTGTACTCCCCTGAGAACTGAAAGGGGTTAGCACCTTGTCTCACAACGAAATGACTGCGCTATAAGGCCAGAGGGCTGGTTTTCCGCACGGTAAATAGCATCGTTTAATCATCCTCAATTAATAATTGTATGAACTTTAAACAGCCACATGGATTTCTTTAAAAGGATGTACTCGTTGATCTTAACCTTTTAGCTTGCTCCCTAGACCACTCTACTTAGAGTTGACCGAGTTGGTCAGAGTGAGAGAATCAGGACTGGCAGGGGATGTGAGGGTCAGCATAGAGAAGGGGATCAAAGAGGGTACTCGGCACAGAAGCTTTTCCTGTCCCCTTCCTTAAAGGACAAGAGGTATAGAAGCTCTCAGGAAAAACCCAAGTTAGACCTCATAGAGTGGGTAGTGGAGCGGAAGCAGGCCTTTTGAGAAAGGAAAGCATTTATCTGCCTATGAGGAATAGGTTTTATCGGTTTGCAAACAGTATGAAATATGGACCTGCTTTTTTAATTTAATTTTATTTATTTTTTAATACAGCAGGTTCTTATTAATTATCACTTTTATACACATCAGTGTATACATGTCAATCCCAGTCTCCCAGTTCATCCCCCCCCCACCCACGGACATGCTTTTTATAAAAATACTTAGAAACACTTTTTCCTTCCATATGCTGAGACTCATTTGTTAAGTAACATTTGCTATAGTTTATCACCTTTTAAAGATCCCTTTGTGAACCACACATATCTTCCTTGGGAAACTGGTTACAGGAAAATAGGGGTTGAATGTGTATACAGAATAGTCTGAAGACTTCAGTGTGAAAGCAAAGCTATTAGTGAAGAGATGAAGTAAAATACTGCCCTAACTATGACTGTGTAAAGACAGGATCTTTTCATAAGCTCTTTCTGCTTGCTGTTAAGAGTTTGCTAAGCTGACATGAATTATTCTGGCTATTACTAAAGTTTCTATGAAACGCTTAAGTAAATTTTAAGAATAAATGTTTTTTGGCAAAGAGCTCTTCCATGTCATGATTATGTGGAAACTGAAAGATTAGTCGAGGTATTTAGAGTAAATTTTTCATTCAGGCCACCTTTGCCTTTTTTTTTTTTTGCGGTACGCGGGCCTCTCACTGTTGTGGCCTCTCCCGTTGCGGAGCACAGGCTCCGGATGCGCAGGCTCAGCGGCCATGGCTCACGGGCCCAGCCACTCCGCGGCATGTGGGATCTTCCCGGACCGGGGCACGAACCCGTGTCCCCTGCATCGGCAGGCGGACTCTCAACCACTGCGCCACCAGGGAAGCCCTCTTTTTTTTTTTTTTTTAAGGTAAGTTTTTTTGATTGTCTTTATGGAAATGAGGTTGTCCTTTTTTATGTTTTTTATTTATTTTATTTTTGGCTGCGTTGCCGTGCGCGGCCTTTCTAGTTGCGACGAGTGGGGGCTACTCTTCGTTGCGGTGCGCGGGCTTCTCATTGCGGTGGCTTCTCTTGTTGTGGAGCACGGGCTCTAGGCGCGCAGGCTTCAGTAGTTGTAGCGTGCGGGCTCAATAGTTGTGGCTTGCGGGCTCTAGAGCGCAGGCTCAGTAGTCATGGCACACGGGCTTAGTTGCTCCGCAGCATGTGGGATCTTCCCGGACCAGGGCTCGAACCCATGTCCCCTGCATTGGCAGGCATATTCGTAACCACTGCGCCACCACGGAAGCCCTCAACTTGGTGCATTACTTGCAGGTTTCAGCTCACATACCATCTCACTTATGAAATCTTGTTCTCACAAGCATAGTCACTGTCACTCCTTAGAACACCCCAAGCACACTGTTCATATGTTTCTAGCTCTCCAGAATGGCACTAGAGTGTAGTGGTCATGTATATGGACTATAGTATTTGCAAGCACCATAAACTCTCTGTTCCTCAGTTTCCCCATCTGTGAAAAGGGAATAATGACAGTACCTACCTCACAGAGCTGTTACGAGAACTGAATGAGAACAATGCGATAACACCTGGTGTTACCACATATGTTGTATTTCAATGAGTTCTTTAATACATGTTTTCCCCCTCTAGATTGTGAACAGGACATGTGTCTTATTCTTCTTGCTAACAGTAAAGGCTGCATGGCAGAATGATAGTAAATGGGTTTTGGAATCAGATAGATAGGAGTCCACATCCTAGCTCTGCTACTTACTAGGTGTGTAATCTTCAACTTTACTTCCCTGAACTCAGTTTCTTCATTTATAAGATAATGAAAATAATGCATGTCTTATAAGTTGTTACGAGGACAATTTGAGATCATCACAGTTGCAGATCTGGCCCAAAGAAGGCAGTCACTAAATGGTGCAAATGATGGGTGACCCCAGGACATAGTACCATGTTCAGAACACAGTAAATGCTTAGTAACTGATTATCGAATGAAAAGCTGACGTTATATGCCAGGCACCACGCTAACCTTTTTATATACATCATCGCACTTCATTCTCACAAGAACCGTATGGAGAAGGCACTATTATTATCTCCACTTTACAAAGAAGGAATGTGAGGTTTGGATTATCTTAACGAAGGTTTCTAAGCTATAAAGTGCTAGAGCTAGGATTTCAAGGCCCTTGGTGCTTTATAAAACAGCTGACTGAATGAGAGAAGGAATGAAAGGAGACTTACCCAGAGTCAGGTGGTGGCGTGGTAGAACCAGCACTGTTACTCTTGGTCACCATGCTATCTAGTCTGCTATTCTAGCCGAATCATCTTGACAAATGAATTAAGACTGAGATGGATGCTGGTATTTGGCAGTTTGTGTCTACTGACCAGGAAAGCTGTGCTATACCTATCTCGGCTGATAAATTGAAGTGCTCGGTGAATAAACACAAATAAATTGGGAGCGCTAGTTCTTCGCCAACTGTCAGCAGTGTGGCCAGATCATTTTCCCAAGACCTAGAAAAAACCCACTGTACAAGCTACTGATTTCAAGTTGCTTTGTATCATGAACATTTGCTTTGAGGTATCAGAGCCAGAATGTGAGCTCCTCGCTGGCCTGATAATGTACTATTCATAGCCAGAGGACGTAACTAAGGAACTCTGAAGAAGGAAGAGAAACCCTCTTTGCTCATCTTTCACATTATCCTTCCTTCTCCTGATTTGGTCCCTAATAGTGCATTAAAGAATAAGAAGGAGAAAACAATACAGTTCCTAGTTCTTCTGCCCCAAAAATGTCCTTCCTGTTGATTGGGAAGGAAAAAGGAGGTACTTAGGTAGATTTCAGATTTTGAAGACTCCAAAGCAATCCAGAATCCCGAACTTGAAAGGCAGTGGAAGGAGTAGGGGCATTTGTATTAAACAGACCTGGCTTTGCATGCCATCTCTTCCACTTAACTGGCCATGTAATCTCAGGTTCCATATCATGTGCCACACTCCCAGCTTGGTCCCTTGTGCCCAAATGCATATGTCCAGTAAATGACGGTCCTTTTTATCTTTCTAAAAGTAAGTGATATCAGAAGGATTTCAGTGTGAGAGTGAAGCTGAGAATTAAGGTAGGTAGTAGAACTAAAAATGAGACTGGGGACTTCCCTGGCGGTCCAGTAGTTGAGACTCTGTGCTTCCACTGCAGGGGGCGCGGGTTTGATCCCTGGTTGGGGAACTAGGATCCCACATGCCGTGTGGCACGGCCAAGAAATAATAATAATACATTTTAAAATGAAATAAAAGTGAGACTGAATTTGGAAATGACGTGAGTGAAAAAGGGTTAAAGTTGAAGCTGAGAGCAGACCTCTGCAGTTTACTATGTTGCTGTGCTGATTATTCGTCATAGTATGTATTCTGCCTCCTATCCTGGAAATAACTTTTGAGCCAGACAGGTACAAAGTGTCATGCCAACAAAGCAGAACTTCATAGGAACAGTAACCTCAGTTAAAAAAAAAAAAACCCGAGGGGGTGTTCAGAAACCTATTTCAGAATGCCATTTCAGCATAAGCAAATTGGAGTAGAAACAAAGAGTTGTTTGATGGTTTGACTTACGCGGAGAGAAGTATGTTAGCTTCCTGTGGCTGCAGTAACTAACTGCCACAACTTTGGTTGTTTAAAACAATAACATTTTATTCTCTCACAGCCAGAAGTTTGACATACGAGGGCAGAAATCAAGGTGTCAGCATGGGCTGTGCTCCCCTCAGACGCTCCAGGGCAGAATCCATTTTGTGCCTCTTCCTGCTTCCTGTGCCTGCCGGCATTCCCTCACTTGCGGCCACATCACTCCGATCTCTGCCTCTGTGGTCACATTGCCCCCTCCTCTTTTGTAGGTATCAAATCTCTCTCTACCTCATTCTTTTTTTTTTTTAAGATTTTTTTTTGATGTGGACCACTTTTTCAAGTCTTTATTGAATTTGTTACAATATTGCTTCTGTTTTATGTTTTTGGTTTTTTGGCCGCGAGGCATGTGGGGTCTTAACTCCCTGACCAGGGATCGAACCCACACCCCCTGCATTGGAAGGCGAAGTCTTAACCACTGGACCGCCAGGGAAGTCCCTCTACTGAATTCTTATGAGAACACTCGTGATTGGATTTAGGGCCCACATGGATAATCCAGAATAATTTCCTCATCTCAACATCCTTTCTTAATCACATCTGCAAAGACCCTTTTTCCTTGTAAGTTAACGTTTATAGGTTCATCATCATCATCATCATCAATAATGGCTGGCCAACATTCACTTGTTCCAGTTTAACCAGCATCCCCAAAAGAGATAACTGTCTCTTACCTGTTTATTTTTTTTCACTTAATTGTTTTTTTTAAATTATGCAAACAATTGATGTTCATTGTAGGCCATTTAGAAAATACAGAAAAGTTAAAGAAAAAAAGGAAAGGAAAAGAAATTCAATGAAAAATCATCTGTAATCCTCTCACCCAGGGGTAGCCAAATCTTCACCAAAGAGTATTTTTCTAGGCTGGGTCTTGTGTCCAACAAAGAGGAAAAGTAGGAAAAAGAGAATAAAAGTGAATAGAATAGGACAAACGATTTGGAAGGTGATAGAATAGGTTAATATTGTTCATAATAGATATGTACAGGACAGCTTAATCTAAAATAAATGTAGAGCTTTGAAATGAAATTAACTGTGACAGGAGATGCTTGTATGATGTATAGAAATAACACTCAGCCCTTTAGAGGAGGGACGTTTTAGCTTTGGCCTCTCACTTGAAAACCCCTGAATTTCCCCACTAATACTTCATTCTCTCCCAGAGGTCAGACCCTGGCCTGCCAATCTGCCCTGTCATAGGCTTTTCTTGAGTCCTTATCAGCCTTCCTCAGGGGTCAATGTTATGAAGACTAGGGGAGTCTGGCAGAGTTCCTGCTCCTCCCAGGCTGATATCAAAGGGCAACAGGGGCTGTGACAGAAGGCAAACATTCAGACCAAAGCCAGATGTGGAACTGAAGCAACAAGAGGAAAAGCAAGAGCATCAGGTAAAAAAAAAAAAAAAAAAGTTTTTTTAAAATCTTATTCCTCTCAGTTTATGTCTGAGAGCATGAAGAGCTTAGTAAAATCATAGCTCAGGAGCAACTTGTAAAGGAGAATGAGTGAGAAGTTTGGGGAAATGTGGAGCAGATGTTCATATGGAGCTAGACTCTCAGAAAACTTTGTATCTATCATGGTTGTCATCAGCAACCAAGTAACATCAATGAGCCTTGGGAGTCATGAGAGTATAGTTCTGCTAGTTCAAAAGCAATTCGATTTGTCTGTGAGTCCCAGCAGGTGGAAGCTATAGGGAGACAAATTATAGCTGAAAATAAGGAAGCTA